ATGTTCTCACAAGGCAAAGAATTCTGCAAGAGCAAGGCTGGATTTTGTACTTTTTCACTCCTCAACAGTTTGTGTGTTTAAACCAGTGTTTAAACCAGTGCATGTTTAAACCCTTTGCAACAGATATTAGAATCTTTGCACAAAACTATCACGTTTAGCCTTCTAACAACGCGAAGTTTCAACTGACCAAGCAGACCCAGTCCCTCCACTCTTACCCTTTCTTCTCCATCTCTTCCACCTTACCTCCTTACCTTGGCTAATTCCCATCTTTCTAAGAACCTGTCCTTTAGAAATGGGACTGCTGTAATCAGCATGTTGAAGGTGTGAACATCAGCTGGAAGATGGAAGAGAATTCATTTTAACTGACACTTACATTCTAAGGAAAACAATTCTAACATGGCTCAGATTTTGGCAAAGTCTCATGCAAACCTGTTTCCAGTGAGCCAACCACATGCCAGCTGCACCAGAACACCAGGTTTGCATTCAGCTCCCATGATCTAGCTGAGGTCCGTACCCCTGCGCCAATCATCACCGCCATGAAACAAACACTCATAGACCCAACAATGGGCTTCTCTGGCTTGCAGGACCAGAAAGCAGAAGCAGGAGACACTTACCCTTGTGTCTTTCATTCAGCAGGTCTATATACACATCGTAAGCTTTAGCAGCAACCCCATGCTGTAAAAAAACAAACAAAAAAAACCCAGATAAAAAATCTCTACAAATCTATGATGACAAATGCCCTCCCAGCAAAGAAGGAGAACTTTACCTTCACCATCCCACGGATCATTGTGCAATAGGAGTGTGCATTCCTCTCTGGCATTATCTTGAATATCCTCTCAGCATTGTTGTTCTCCCTAGAATCAAGGAAAAACCTGAATGTGAAAGAACTCGATAAAATACACCTTTAGGAAAACAATTCCACGTGCATAACAGAAGAACGGGCCGTGTCCCCATGTTACTTGTGATACTTTGACCTGAACACAATCACTTACTAGATTTCCACCAACAATTTAAAAGACTAGCAAACACAGATGTGTTTAACAAGTAACAAGCCTGCCTGCATGGGCTGGTAACAGTCTTGAAGTCTGTTTTATAAACACAAGGCATCTGCACATGAATACTGGCAACATTTTCTGTACCTCCATCTAGAGCTGAAGGACTGTGAACCTCTTTGGAATTGTCTCCTTGGAGCCTTCTGCTCAGAAGCATTCACCTGGAGAGATTTTTGCAGAATTAAGTTTCTCAGCTTTCAAAGTTATGATTAAACATCAAATTATGTGACTTGGTGACAAGTTCAGCAGCTATTTACAACACACCAAAGGTGTTTTTCTAATGGGTTACATTAAATTCTATGAATTATATTAAAATGTTTAGGAAGCAATAAAGAATGCAGATTGTGTTTTTGAACATAGTAACAAGGCAAATTATTTGTATTTGTGCAGTTGGTGGGAATCATTAGACTATAGCACACACTCTGTAAAACCCTTTCTCCTTCAGCAGTCTGCCCAAGGACAGGTATTGTGCAACACATCTACCACTGTTCCCTGTGACCTGATACTCTGAGGTCACACAAGGAGCCCTCAGCTTCACTGAAATACAGGTATTGTGGTTCAGACTGAAGAAAATTAATGAGCTGATCTACACCAGAAGTACTAGAGGTCCTCTTTGCAGGAAATTATAAAAACAAGGCTGTCAGGGAGATAACAGTTATGTAAATGCGGCTCAACAGAACTAAGCCAAAACCAGGTTCCAGCTGCAATGTTCAGCTTTACAGAAACTACTTTTGTGACCAGGTCAGACACAGGATTTTTATAACTTCTGTATCTCTAGAGAACGTTGACTGCACCTGACCCACCTCACACCACCTACCAGGCAGGGAAGTCACAGTACAAAGAATCTTGACATCACTCTGATACACCCCCACTATACATGAAAGAAATAAATAGTGATCAACAGATTTTTCCATACCCCTGGTTCTTCCAAATCCTCTTTTTGCTCTTTCTCTTCTTCCAGAGAAGATTCTCCATCTCCATAGAAGCATAACAGATCTAGCAGGCTGTTTGTGGTCTCCAGAGATACAGGGGTACCTAGAGAAAATGAGGACGTACAAGAGCTGCAGAGAAAGTAAAGAACACACCATTCTACAGCCACATCAGAAAACCTTTGAACACCCAGCTAAGCCATTTGTTCTCTTTCCACATAAAGGCATTCTCAATCAAGTCTGTAAAACCTGGGTGTGACGCCAATACCTCCACCAACCCATTCATAGCAGGAAACAATTTTAACACTGAACTAGAGTATCTCTTTTTCTACTGAAGCCACTGAAATGGTAGTTTTTCCTGACTGAGTGGAAAAGGGAAGTGACAGCTGGCAGCCAGAACTGTGAAGCAGAACAAGCCCAACAAGACATCTGAAATGTCTAGTGCCTTTTTAAACTACTCCTGGGATAAACCCTGCTATGAAGACCACTTCATGTGGCTCACTTTAAAACCGACAAAAGATGGAATAATCTCCTTTCCATCTTGTCGTGGATATAAGATCTCATCTTCCCAGTAAGTTTCCCTCCTTTAGAAGCTGTGGCAGTTTTCTATTGCTTTCTCCTCATTCATCCATCCATGGCAGGGATAACATTAAGGAAGATCTGAGAAATACTCATTTATTGAGGTCAGGTCCACAGAAGGGGCACTTGGCTGGTATGCTATACCAGTCCAACACAGTAGCAAAGTTCTCAGCACAAATTCAGCTTATACCAACAAATATGTTACTGCATGAGGGCCTTTGTGGGCAGGATGGTATCACTCAAGCACACAGCATCTGCTCACAACAGGCCCTACTCTACTGCATCACTAATTCTTCCACTATGGAAGGAAAGAAAAACCTGAATGCTGTATCATCTGCCTTTTGATCAATAAAACATTTGTTCTCCACAAAACCAAAGTGACATCAGACAAGCAGTGGATAAGGAGGGCCCAATAATTCTGGAGAACCACTTTGTCAGACTGGAGTCAGCTGTGACAGGCAGCAACATAGTCATGAAGTTGTCTCCATACACTGTGCCAGCTGCTAAAAAGTTTTTGCCACAATTTAAGTAGAACTCCATCACAGAATCTGGCAGGTGACTACATACCTGCTTGTACAAGCTGATCAAATAGATCCACTGACTCCTTCACCCTTCTGAGGTAGATACGCTCTTTTAGAGCTTCCTCACTCACTCCTTCAATCTGAGGTGTCAGAATCTCAGGCATCAAGCACTAAAAGCAAAGAGTGCAAGTTAGACACACTTAAACCTTCTCTAAACTACTGCTAAAACACCAGCCAAGTATGTTTACTCTTCACTCAGTATACAGCTTTGATAATTTACCAACACTCCCAGCCTAACAGCAGCAGTTCTTTAGATGATGAAGGATACACATCCTGATCTCTCACTTCCATGCCAGTAAGTCAACATTTAAGCATAATCTCTTTTCTTATTTTTATCTAAAGAACATGATATAATATTCAATCCCTAAGGAAAAATGTTCACTTCAGAAACATAAAGGAAATACAGTGCTGCTTTCATAGCTGCCTGCAAAACAGCTAACATCATTATTCTTTCCTGTTCGTTTTGGCCCAGTCTGACAGCTGATTTTAGCACCTGACAAAGCACAAGAGTGAAAATGAAAAGCAAAAAAGCTTACTGCTACATTGGGCTCTGCTAAAGTCTTGTCAAAATACTGAGGAAACTGCTTCACAATGTATTTTGCAGCATTTCTTCCAGACTCCTTCGCCAATGCAAACAGACGCTGCATAGGAATGAGAGGGAACAAGGTGAAGAAACACACAATTAAAAGGATGAGAGTGGGGAAAAACATGTTCTGTAACACTGAGCATGCTTTGTTTTCAACTTTTAGTAAAAAATACAGACAGCAGAGAACACGCCAGGTAAACATTCTGGTATTGATGTCAATTTAAGAATGTCTATTCTTTAAAGAAGCCTGCTACTTCTCCTTTATTGAGACAAGGAACAAAAGTTCTGTACCAGACATATTTGAAATGCTGCACTACTGCCTCAAGCTCAAAAGCATCTCTTTTTAGAGTATGACACACAGATGTTTCCCTACCTGTTTGTCATTCCCAAAAGCATCACCCAATTCCCATTCACTGCTTTTCTTCAAGTTGCAAAGTCAGACCCTCCACTGTTTCTTGTAGCCTCATCACTGATCTGTGACAACACATCTCCCAGTCTTCTCCTGCTACACTCCAGTTACCATCACACACAGCAGTTCCTTCTTGCCCTCATTTGCAGTTATGCTTTCTCCTGCCTCAGCTTAACGTTCTTTAATGTTATGCAGAGGTAACATCAGAGGAAGACTCCCTTCCTCCTTCTTTTCTACTATCATCTCAATACTACTATTTCCATAAGCCTAAGCTCTGTGATAAAACTCAAATTGCTGGGGCTTGGCCAAGACAGTGAACTGGTAACATGTAGTTTGTGTAGCAACACACACAGAAGTGACCTCGTGTGTTTTAATTCACACATTTAATTCAAATTTAGCTAAACTGTAAGCACAAAATCTCAAAACTTGCAATAGCACATACTCACAATCCATATCCAAGGTACATAAACACAGTTTGAACAGGCTGAATATGCCTGACTTGAAGAATTACTGTTAGGAATCATTTAACAGACTAAGAACATGGAGAAATGGAACAACTTGGCAGGTAAGCCACTAACTTTTAGGAATGTTAACAGAGCTGTGGCAGCTGGGACATCCCTATGGGGGCAGGAAGAGGAGATAACTGCACAGGGTGGATTTGTTGAGGGAAGTGTAACAGACATTATGCATTCAGAAATACAGAGAAGAAAATTCTGGAAGAAGTCTGACACCTGGCTGAGGGAAGACATGCTACAGAGCAGCCCTGTAGAAAAAGACCTGTGGGTCCCAGTGCATCAAAAGCTGGACATGAGCCACAAATGTGCAGTTGCAGCCCAAAAGGCCAGCTCCATCCAGGGCTGTATCAAAAGAAGTGTGGCCAGCAGATTGAGAGAGGTGATTCTGCCCCTCTACTCTGCCCTGGTGAGACCTCTCCTGGAGTTCTGCGTCCAGCTCTGGAGCTCCCAGCACAAGAAAGATGTGGACCTGGTGGAACGTGTCCAGGGGAGGGCCACAAAAATGATCAGAGGGCTGGAGCACCTCTCTTATGGGGACAGGTTGAGGGAGTTGGGGTTGTTCAGCCTGAAGAAGATAAGACTCTGGGGGGACCCTTACAGCAACCTTCCAGTACCTGAAAGGGGCCCATAAGAAGGCTGGGGAAGAGCTGCTCACAAGGGCATGTAATGACAGGACAAGGGGTGATAGTTTCAAGCTAGAAAAGGGCAGACTGAGATTGGACATTAGGAAGAAGTTCGTTAATATGAGGCTGGTGGATCACTGGAACAGGTTGCCTAAGGAGGTGGTCGGAGCCCCATCCCTGGAGACATTCAAGGTCAGGCTTGATGGGGCTCTGAGCAACCTGTTCTAATATGAGGTGTCCCTGCTTATTGTAGGGAGGTTGCACGAGATGACCTTTAGAGGTCCCTTCCAACCCAAGACATCCTGTGACTTCATTTTCTTTTGTAATTAAAACTAGGCTCCGATCAGATAATGTATTCATAGCCTAGATGGAGGGGGGGGAGAGGGGGAGCTCTCAAGGATTTGGGAGGAAATACTTACAGAATTGGCTGCATTTCTTGGCATAAGGTAAGGGTCATCATAGAACATATAATGAGCTGCAGTTGGGTCCTGCAGGAAGGAGAACACAGGCTGAAACATTTATAGTTACGGACACAGGCATCCTGCATGCATATCACACTGCCTCATGGAATTCAAGGCACAGTGATGCCCACTAGACAAAAGCTCCTCTTATTCAAAAGGTTTATCCTGTTTGGAAATAGTGAAAAAAAAACACTTCCATTATACACACACATTCAGGCTTACAAAGTGACAAGAAAAGGGTCCTTACTATAGTACAAAAAGCAATAACGTGCCCTGCAAAGCAAGCAGGACCCCAACTATAACAGCCTCAGAGAAGCTGAGGCGACTTGCATGATGAGATTCAATTTCCAGAGCTCAGGACAGGATTAAGGAATGGCATCAAGGAATTTATAATTGTTGCCTAACAAAAGTAGATACTGATGGCTCTCTGCAAGGCTTACTTTCCAGGCTGAAAAAGGGAAGAGGCAGCCTGGATTGGGAAGCTGAACTGCTAAAGGAACCTGATCTGATGTTAGCTTTATTGGAGACTTACAGCTTTCACTGCTAGTTCTCTTAGCACTAGCATGAGGCTTTCAGAACACAGCAAAATGTGTTGAACTAAAGTGAAAACCCTGTAAAAAAATGGATGTAAAAGTCTCATCTTTCACTTAGGGCCAAAGCAATACAAATATTGCATAAGATGGACAACCTGACCTGTTCACATGATCAGCAGAACTACTTACCCTCTTCACAGTAGAAGCCAATGTCTGAAGAACTGCCAGCTTGTCCCTAAACATAAAGCAGCTTTGGTTACTGCTCAGTTGCAGACCTTGAATGTTAAGTGTTACACTGTGTGCAGAACAAGCACAGGATTATCCTGGCCTGTAAGGGTTTCCAGTTCTAGGAAATAGTGGGTTTGTTGCACTTAGAAAATACTACTTTTTGCAAAGGGAGGGAAAATTCAGCTGCAAAATGGTCTCAGTTCTGGAACAACCACAGCAGAAAGACTGAGGAAAATCAGAAAAGCTTGTGTTCCCTCCTACCACTCCTGACTTCATTACACATTATCAAAGAACACGGGAAGGCAGAGAGAAAGAATTCCCTGGAATGTTCCTCTCAGAGCCCCTGAAGACTATCCCATCTCTGAGAGATGGATTCACGAGTCCTTCTCCAAGTCTTGGGAAGAAAAAAAACCCAAACAAAACTAGGTTTCTCAGGACTCCTGTGCTTGCGGATCCTTAAAACTTCGGTTGAATTTCAAGAAAAAAACGGTCACAAAAAGTGTTTATAGGTAAAGGAAGTATGATTTTAGGTTTACATGCAGACACCATTTGGCTGTACATTTAGGTTTTTCCTGTCTAGTCATGCAATTCCATCTTAAGTGCTTCCTACAAGGTAGCTTTTGCTCAGCCACCTAATTTCTAAACAGAATTTATTCAGCCAACTATCAATGGCCAATTTATTTTTTTCCTGAGAGAAACACACCTACATGCAGACAGCCAAATACACTTCATTTTACAAACCTCTAGGGAATGCAATCTTTTACAAAGAAACAGAGCTACACTTACAAATTCAGTCCTCTTAACTGTTGCTAAAATAAAGGCCAGGAACAGATACTCTGCACAGAGATTAAGAGCCAAACAT